AGGGACGCGGGGCGGGGCGGGGGTGAGGAGGCGCTTGCTCAGGGTGGAGATGATGATGGAGCCGGCGGGGGCGGTCAGCACGATGGACAGGACGGCCACCAGCAGCACGGTGTTGGCGCGGGCGACGTCCACGTTGGCGTCCTGCAGGTCTTGCACGGCAGACGGCGACGTCGCGGGCGCAGTCACGGCGTGGCGAGCGGCGTCGAGGGCGAGCGGTCCCAGCGCGGCCTGCAGCGGGGCGAGTCGAAAGGTAAGTTAAGTGCACGTTTTTGTTAGGGTGGAAATTTGTGTGATGGGGTGAGGGGCAAAGTACCTGCACGTCGGCCTTGGGCAGCCAGGAGAGCGCGACAAACAGTCGCTCCTTCCAGTTGAATCTTTTCTCTGCGAGCAGCAAAAGCCACGTGGAGATGGTGCGGAACTGTGGGCGTGATTGCGTGATTCCTTTTAGGTTAGCTACCAAGCGAGAGCGGCAGTAACATACAAATATCGCAAAGTATCGGTAACAGTTACTGTAAACAGCATAAGGATCATCTAATTTTCACATACAAGTTCAAAGATTTCTTTAAACTTTTTGCTCCAAGTAAAGCAAAACAACATGAATGAAGGTGCCTTTAGGTCCTGTTTCCGGTACCTCCTAATGCTTTGTCTTCTTCCGCTATCGAAGAATTGTTTATTTTACTGTTAAGTTCGGCACCACTCTGCAGAAATGGGCGTTATTTGTTTTCACTCTCACCACTAGTGATATCAGAATGCAGCCGACAGCCAGGCCCACTAGGCCGCCGTCCAGGACGGAGGTGTTGATGTCCGCGCCGATGAGGCTGAACATGACGGGCTCGAACACCACCCACATCACCTCGAAGTGCTTTTCTACGTCGTCCTGGGCATATTAAAAAGAAGCGATTGTCTCAGATTCGAACGTCACAATGACTCCAAGAAAGCACAATACGGCATTCCTTTGATATCAACACGACTGGGGCGACGTCGTCGACGTGACCTCATCGCGACCGTAGGGAAGCTCACCACAGCCAGGGACGACTCCCTCCTCCTCCAGCCCGCCGCCGCCGTGAAGGCCGTGGCGATGCAGCCCACCGATCCCGCCTCATGGAAGCCCAACGCGTCGCTGCCGAAGGTGACGACGAGCCCGCCGCCGAGCACGAGGGCGGAGCGCCACTGGGCCAGGTGCCGCTGTGGGTCGCGGCGCAGAGGGTCAAGAGGTCAGAGGAGCGGGGGCAGGGCCGGGCAGAGCGCACCCAAGTCTGAGCGCTACGCTACTCACCGTGTCCCTCAACGGCACCAGCTGGAGGGACTTGCCGAGGACCGCGCCGTACAGGATGCCGAAGACCAGGCCCAGCGGGTGCTGGGCGAGCTCCTCCGCGGAGGTTCCTTCGCTGAAGAGGAGGCTCTGCACCAGGCCGTAGAGGGAGATGGCGATGACGTCGTCGAACGAGGCCGCGGCCACCACCAGGGTGTCGATGCCCTTGTCGGTGCCGAGCCTCTGCGCGCGCAGCTCCACGAAGCACGGCATCACCACGGACGGCGCGACGGCGCACAAGACCAGCCTGTGCACGGCCACGGAGGAGAGGGAGTTGAACGCACGGCCTTCAGAAGGCTTTTCCACCGCGCACCACGGGCGGCACTCACCCGAGGAGGACGCCCCACAGGGGCGGCAGGTCGAGGAGGAGGTACCCCAGGCCGATGATGGAGACGACCTCCACGAAGGCGGGCACGATGGCCAGCCCCAGGACCACCAGGGACAGCGAACGCAGCTGGCGAGGGTCCAGCCCCAGCCCCGCACGCACCATGATCAGCGCGAGCGCGGCCTTCCTGCAGCGAGAAGTCAGAGAGAAAGGATTTGTCTTGAACCCAACACCGCACCGCACTGCATCGCTCAAACTCACTCAACACACCACACCTACCTCAGGGCAGAAACGAGGTTGTCATACTCCGGGCCGAGGTTCAGGAAGGCCGTGTTTTTGAAGGCCACGCCGACGACGAGCATCCCCACCAGGGCGGGCACGTCGGCCAAGGTGTGCACCATCCAGCCGGCCAGCGAGGCGCACACGAACATGGCCACGAGGCGGAACAGGGGGCCGTCGACGTTGGCCAGGTCGCCGAGGAAGCAGTAGGCCAGCGCCCATAGCTGCAGCAGCAGCACGGCGGGGCACAACACCGAGGACACCCACCGGCCCGACGGCCACGCCCCGAACCCCTCCGCGCATTCCCTGTGGACGAGAAGGAGGTCGTCTGGGTCTACTGGGGCACTTGGGACATGGCATGTCGGCGACGCAAACCCCAATGAAGGATACCGCCATGAACCGGATAGCCGTCACACAAGCGCTTGCCTTACCTTCAAGGTTTTCCATGGGAAATGCCATCGCATAAGGCTAGTCCGATCCAAACGAAAGAGAGGCTAAGATATTAAGGAAAGAATCGACTATCGCGATTCATTTGGTATAATCCATTCTTGGCTTCGTACCAGACCTGAGAAAGGACGGCGAGAATAGACGCCATAACAATAGGTCGTCTGTGGGCTCAAGCGTTAGCCGGCTTCGTCTGCTGCTACCCCGCACGCGGACGTGAACGTATTTGGTAATCAACGAAATCACAACAAAACACTTCCCCAGGTTGCAAACATGATAAACGGCAGCGCCCTGCAATTTCTCCAATTTTGCCAACTGTTCTTTTTTTTCTTTTCTCGGATGCCAATATGAATTAATAACTGCTTCCCACTACGAGCAGTGCCAACCTTGTACCCTAAATTCCCGTAAGTATGGGATTTTTTTTTCGAATTTTCTTTCAATCGCTCCGTATTCACCTTGCCCTTATGCGTTCCCATGTGAGCACATTTAACAGTAGTCACGTACCGGAAAATATCAAGTGGTTCTCCCTCGTATAAAAGTTTAACTTAACAGTTTATTGAAATTCTTGGAAAACTCAAACTTGATATTGTAGTTCTGTATCTCTTTATTTGTCTAACGAGTCTCTGAAAAGTAATGTAATCACGTAGTGAAGGATTGATTGATTCAACTGCAGGAGGCAATGGGCCGCGGCCGCCTGGTGGGTAGGCAACAACGACCATTCAGTACACGCGTGTATGGCGGGCTGGCCTACCCTGCCGAGAGTCAGGGGCTTTCGAGCTGTTTAATCGCTGTACGCATGTAAGGGTGATGGGACGGGGCTGCGGGGCGGAAAGGGTCTCCCTAAAACCTCCCTAATATGTCATTAGGAAGTGCCATGGCCCCTACGGCCCTCGTCATCATACAATCCCGCAGAACCGGAGCGCATGCAAAGACAAACCCAGTCCACCCCAGCGGAACGGCCCTGTAGCCACCCGAGAGAGCACGCAAACTTCGCAACACTGACCCAGGTGTACTCTGCCACACTACTCACTGGAGCACGGCCAGGGTGCGGGTGACGCAGGGGCACGGCGGGCATCTCGGACAACGCAGCCAAGCCCACCGCCTGGCGCGCGGCTCGGAGGCGCCTTCCTCCGAGTCCAGCAGCTCTGTAGGCAGAGAGAGAGAGGGGGGGGGGGTTGTCAGTAACCGCCGCGTGCCCAGGGTGGCGTCGAACTGCTGCCGTCGAGGTGCACTCACCTGGAGGAGTGTACTGGTATCTCACGCTGGGTTCCTGGGGGCTGGTCGCTGCCCCCGGACCAGCCCCGAGTTCAGACCGCGCCCTCCGGCCGTTGCCCACGCCCCCCAGGAGGCCGAGGGGGAGGCGGAGTGGTGTCGTCGAGGTCCCGACGGAGGCCCTCCCGGGGCTGGCTCGCCCGGTCATGTTGCCGGCTAGGTGCCGCTGCTGCTGCCTCCCGACTCACCGGTCTCTTCATAGGACTTCAGAAGCGCACGCAAGTGCGGCCGCCCTCGGATCAAGCCCCTCTCTCGCACTTCTCGTGGCGCCTGTGGCACCGGCGCTGCAGCAGGTCGTGTGCGGGTCCTGAGGACGCGTCGCGGGGAGCTGCGGTCGGTCGGGCTCGGCTCTGCGTCTGCGTACACAAATGCGTGACATAGTGAGACGAGCCCCACCCATAGTGCAAGCAGGCCAGTGGAGCTACGTTGCGGGGGTGGGTCGACTCGCCGCGGTCGTGGACAGCGCCCTGGGAGCGAATGGGCTTACTGTACTGCAGCCCACATGCAGGCGTGCGTGCGGGTTGCCTGTACGCGACTGTCAGCCAGGCGGTGGTTAGCGACGATAGGCAACCCCAACGTTTGCATGCATGTGAGCACTAGTAACGTCCGTTCGCTGTTGACATCGTCCAAGGTCAACCAGTCGAAATACAATCGGGGCAGAGGCGGCGAGTTTTCTTTCGGCATTAAGAACGGCACAATGACGATTAGCTTACCGTCGTGGACCGTGCTGGGTTTGGGCGAGCTCTGCTGCGCTGCGGCGGCGGGTCCTGCTCGCTCGTGACTGTGCCCCGTTGGAGAGCGATAGGCTCGGCGATGGTGCGGCGGCGGGCCGTGCTCGTTCGAGACTGTCCCGTTGGAGAACAAGGCTCGGCGATGATGCGGCGCGACTCCGAGGCGACTCGTATCGTGTGTCAACTGGCTCTCGGCTGGCTCTAATTACTCGCCGGGCAAGGCTTTCGCCAAACAGCTGCGCGGGCCCGCCTTCTCGTCTGGGCGTCGCGGGGAAGGGCGGGGATGGGACTGTACTCAAACCACGTGACCTTAGAGGGGGAGGGGGGGGGGTCCGAATATTATTGAGCCCCCAAAGTACGAGGGCGGCCGTTGGAGTCCGCTGGGACCCCTGGTATCACGTTTTGCTTTACTCATACTCTGGAAACCCAAGTGTGTACTTGAATGCAGAATATTCTGTGTACCTACATATGTATGCAGAATATTCTGTGTACTTGGTCAAGTACACAGTCTCCTGCATAAATGTATGGAGGTTTTAGTGTGTACTTGACCAAGTACACACAATATTCTGTGTACTTGTCAAGTACACAGAATATTCTGCATTCAAGTACACACTTGGGTTTCCAGAGTAGAAAATAATATATGTGTAAACATGAAGGTATTTGTGGTTGCTAAAGGTGGAAGCAGAACTACAAAGATCGGCGTGCCTCAGATAAGATGGACGCCTGAGTCACACAAGTGAGGTCGGTTGACAACAGTTGTTGCAAATCATTAGTCGTGACCTCGGTCGCCTCGCACCTCTGCCTATAAGAGAAGTCTTCATGACTTTTCCATAAAAGTGAGGGAATTCCAAACACTTTGTAGTGCTTGGTAAAATGGCTCAAAACAAACCATATCTTGCACACTCTTTATTGTCACTGAGCGACTTCATTGAACGCTTTCAAGAAGCTATTTTTTCTTTTCTTTTCCGGAATTGCGTATGTGTCCTGTGGTCTTCTCAGCATCTCAGCACTGTCCTCGGCTGTCCTACTGGTCTCGGCTAGGCTCGGAGCCCTTGTAACCATCGATAAAAAAAGAGGAGAGGGAGAGAGAGACGTGGCTCACACGGTCAGCAGAAAACCAGAAACCAGACTTGGGCGGTCCCCTCCGGTTCCCTCGTAGTATGTCGGCGCGCTGAGCCGGGATTGGCTGCGAATTAAATCGCCCGCCAGCTGCACGAGACAATAAAACTGATAAAAACCACCAAGGGCGCGGCGGGGTGTACCTACGTGAAAAGAGCGACTGCAAGCTTGTTGCAAGCGCGTGGTGATGGTACTTCTACCATAGGGTCGGTCCTTTTTCGAGTAGTGATAGTTCAGGGGAAAAAAAATATGCTCTTCCACCTAACGGACGCCTTGCTGTACGCTTTAAAAAATGTCAAAATTTACTGCTCAAAAATACAAAACTCGTTCAATTAAACAGAAGTGTCATGACACTGTATGCACTGTAAAATGCATTATGCATAATGTCAATTCTTTTTAGCTTGTGTAAAATGTCCCAAATTTATGCGCTAATTTAAATGAACTGAGCAAGTACTTAGGCACTCTGCAGTTGGCACATTTCCAGAGTAGCATGGTCGTGTCTGCCCATCATGGTGATGCGAGGCGAGCTGCCCGCATGTCGACGCAGTACTGCTGTACTGTCATTCTCAGTCGCTCCGCTGAGTTTCTCCCCTGCGGCTCATGGTGTTCGCGTTCTTTTCTTTTTTTGGAACGGTGAAAAAAAATCCCTCCCTCGTTGCGTAAAACGTACATTTTTAGTGAAAAGTTGTGTGTCGTCCTCTGCTGGCAAAGGCTCAACACAATAGCAATTCAAAGCTTTGGTCAGGCTGACTGTGTTGACTGGGCTGTGGGCGGGGCAGAGCGA